AGAATACCCTTATGTTCCCGTATGATGATTATGATATATTTTTTTCATAAAAATCACTAAAGGTTGTGATTTTCATGTATAAATAGCTCATTTAGGCCTTATATTTAATGTTATTTGATGTATTTTTATGATTTATTGGAGTACCTATAGTGTTTCCATGCGTTTCCATGTGTATCTTAATTTTTCGTGCATATCCCGATATCTCTTAAATTTATCTTTCTGATACACTTAGCATTTCCGATACTTTAAATCAAGCCGCCAAGGCGAGGCTGGGCGACCATGGGGAGCCCAGGCGCTTAGGCGGGTGCCTAGCCCTCGCCTAGGTGATGGAATTTAAACCAAGACTTGCCGATGGATTTCTACCCCTTTTGAACTAGTTTTTATTGGTTTTATGTATTCTGCACTTACTTTTATGCTTGTGTTTCTTGCAGTGTTACTTCAAGTAGGCAAAACAATGTATTAGAGTTGCAACTTACAAGTTAAAAGTTAGAACTTGAAAGAACTGAAGGGGGCAGCGCCCCTTTCTTAGATCAACAATACATAGGGAGCAACTGAACAAATACTAAAGTAAAAGAAGAAAATGAAAAAGAAAAGTAGGGGGCGGAGCCCCTGTCCTAGACCCAGAAAATCTGGTGAAAAAATATTAAAACAGAAAAAGAAAAGAAGGGACGGAGCCATGGCTCAAAGTATCGATACGATAAGCCCCGTATCAGGCGTATCATATTGTATCTTTTGAAAAAGATACAGTCCGAAACACCTGTTACCCCCAACTTTTTTTAATAATAAAAAGCATCTTATAAGCTTCCCAAAAAACCAAACTTGGATGGAGCCCTTCTTTCAGAAACCAATGATGAGAACAAAAAAAAGCTAAAAAATGGAAGAAATTAAGATCAAAAGAAGGGGGCAGAGTCCCTGTTCTAGACCTAGAAAAGCTGGTGAAAAAAATACTAAAATAAAAGAATATGAAGAATAAAAGAAGGGGCGGAGCCCGTGTTCTGCCCCGTTTCAGACACCAATAATGAGAAAAAAAAAGCTGAAAACATGCAGGAAATTTAAGAACAAAAGGAGGCAGAGCCCCTGTTTTAGTCCAATAAAATGGTTTAAAAAACTTGGAGAAAAGATACAAAAAGGAAGAGGAGAAAATGGGGTGTAACCACTGTTTTAAACCAGGAAACAGAGAACAGAACTAAGAAGAAGAAGAAGAAGAAGAATAAAACTGATTAACTCACCTTGACTTTAGAGGACTGTGTGGGAATGATGGTGGTTGTTGTTCTCTCATCTTCCTCAGTTCGACACTTCAATTCTATTGTCAATGTGAAACCCTCGAAGATTAACTTTTTTTTTACTTTCAAAACAAAAGTATGATTACATGCAATAGGTTCTATTATAAAAACTAAAACAACCAATAAAATATTATATATTTTTTATTTAATAATTATTTATATAATATATATTTGCTTCAGCCCACTAAGCATGCGCCTAACAATCTAACATAGTTGGCGTTTGGGCGAGGCGTTCTTTGAAAAGTGCCTAATCGCCTGGGTGATGCCTTGACAACTATGTTGGACTTATTGATGTGCCAAGCATATTTCCTTATTGTTAGAGAACAACAACCTATTCAGGTACCTCACCTAACAGCTTAAGATCTTAGGTTGAACCGTTACTTGAGATGGTATTAGAGCCTGTTTGATCAGATGTAAATCAGTCCTCTAATATCAAGTTTAATTCAGTGATCAGCAGAATAAAACAGGTTTGAATAACTGTATAAGAGAAGAAGATGGCGAAGAGAAGAGGTAAGAGAAGGAGTCAAATTAATTCTCCATTCTCCTCTAACCCTATTTTATTAAGATCTAAAAAATTAATGATGACAAGTATGCCCTTAAGTGGGCGGCCAGCTTGGCAGTTACATAAAGGAAATAAACAAGAATAAATAACAGGCCCATTAAGTGTGGCCCATCAACATGAAATAAAAGATATTACAAGAGAGGCTGTTAGGGCTCATTCGGCCCAGTCTCTTTACACTCCCCCTCAAGCTGAGCATAGATGTCAAGCATGCTCAGCTTGCTTATATAGTGTGTCAATTTCCCCCTTGGAACTCCCTCGGTCAAGATATCAGCCAGTTGCTCTTCTGATGTGATGAATGGTAAACAAACTTCTCCTGAAGAGACTCTTTCTCTTATGAAATGCCTATCAACCTCAATGTGCTTAGTTCTGTCGTGTTGAACAGGATTATGTGCAATGTTGATAGCAGTTTGATTGTCACAATAGAGCATCATTGGTTTCTCATAGTCCACCCCCAATTCCTCTAGAAGGGATCGTAACCATAGTAATTCTGACACACCATGAGCCATTGCCCTGTATTCTGCTTCGGCTAAGGATCTAGCAACTACTGATTGTTTCTTACTCCTCCAAGACACAATATTCCCAGCAACCAGAGCACAATAACCAGAGGTGGACCTTCTGTCATCTTTACATCTTGCCCAATCTGCATCAGTAAAGGCTTTCAGCTTCATGTGACCATGCTTAGCAAACAGATCTGTGTAGTTTACACACTTTGCCTTTCATTTCTTTCCCATACACTCCTGGAGGTAGAGACATATAGACCTCTTCATGCAGGTCTCCATTCAGGAAGTTATTTTTAACATCAAACTGGTGTAGGGGCCAGTCAAAAGTAGCTGCTAGAGAAAGTAAAACCCTGACTAAAGTCATCTTAGCAATAGGAGCAAATGTCTCAAGATAGTCAATGCCATACATTTGGGTGTAACCCTTAGCAACCAACCGAGCCTTAAATCTCTCAACAGAGCCATCAGAGTGATATTTAATGGTAAACACCCATTTACATTCCATTGGTTCCTTCCCTTCTGGCAAGTCCACAATATCCCAGGTATGGTTCTTATGCAATGCATCAAGTTCAGTCATCATAGCATCCCTCCATTCAGTTTGAGATAATGCTTCCGGTACAGACCTGGGTATCACATGGGAGGACACAGAGGCAAGAAAGTAGTAGGAAGGGGAGAGAAGGTTGTAAGATAAGTGTTTGGAGATACAATGGGTTGTACACTTCCGCTTGCCCTTGCAAAGAGCAATAGGAAGGTCAAGGTCTGGGACAATTAGAGATGGATCAATAGAGGGCTGACCTGTTTCCTTAGGAATGATGGGAGTGGCAAGACGCTCTTCTGAAGGAGTGGGAACAACCTGTACATGTCTGAATCTCTGCCTTTGGTACCACCTTTGGAGAGTAGGAACAGGAGGAGGAGTTGGAATATCAAAGGTAGGTCCAGTGGAAGAGGTGGACACCCCATGATCGGACTCACAAGGGATGGGAAGAGGAACGGCTGGAGACACATCAAAGGGCTCATCAGATTTCTCCCCCTCAGGAGAAATACTAAAGAAGGGAGTCAACTCGGCAAAGGTGACATCCCAAGATACAAAGCGGGTGCCACGAACTGGATCAAAACAGCAATAACCCTTATGTGTGGAGGCATATCCCAGAAACACACACTTATGAGCCTTAGGTTCAAACTTGTGCCTTTGGTGACTATGAATATGCACATAGCAAGTACACCCAAACACACGGAGAGGAAGAGAAAAGAGATCCTCATCCGGGAAGAGAAGACTAAAAGGAGTTTTAAAGCCAAGGACCCGGGAGGGCATACGGTTGATTAGAAAGGTAGTAATAAGAACATCTCCCCAAAACTTTACAAGAACATGGGATGCAAACAAGAGGGATCTGGCAACCTCAACCACATGCCTATTCTTTCTTTCTACCACCCTGTTTTGTTATGGAGTGTAAGAACAAGAACTTTGATGAATAACCCCAAAAGTTTCAAGATAGGTGGAGAGGGTTCTCTCAAAATACTCCTTAGCATTGTTAGARCGRAATATTTTGATACRAGTATTAAACTGGGTGAGGATGAGTTCATGAAAATTTTTCACAATAGATGGTACTTCATCCCTAGATTTCATGAGATAAATCCAAGTGTAACGTGAATAATCATCAATAAAAAGGATAAAGTACTTGTAACCCCCCATGGTTGGCATGTGATATGGCTCCCACACATCAGAGTGTAACAATATGGAAAGGAGAAAGTGATCTTTTATTGATAATTGAATAGGAATGTCTACAATGCCCTTATCAAGTGATATGACCCCCTTCTTTGATACCAAGATGTAAATCAGTCCTCTAATATCAAGTTTAAATTTAGTGATTAGCAGAATAAAACCGGTCTGAATAACTGTATAAGAGAAGAAGATGGCAAAGAGAAGAGGTAAGAGAAGGAGTCAAATTAATTCTCTATTCTCCTCTAACCCTATTTTATTAAGATCTAAAAAATTAATGATGACAAGTATGCCCTTAAGTGGGCGGCCAGCTTGGCAATTACATAAAGGAAATAAAAGAATAAATAACAGGCCCATTAAGTGTGGCCCATCAACATAAAATAAAAGATATTACAAGAGAGGCTGTTACGGCCCATTCAGCCCAGTCTCTTTACATGATCAAGTGGTCTAGTGTTCAATCTTCGTTGCCCCCACTTAGAGTTGATTAAATTTAAGCACAAGGTATAGGTGAGCCTGTGCTTGTCCACACTTCAAGCCTGATGGGCTTTCACATGAGGGAGCATGTTAAAGAATAAAAACCTATGCAGGGACCTAACCTAACAATGGCATAACTCACTTGTTGTATCCCACCATTGCTACTTTAAATGGTTTTTTCCTGTGAGTGTGTATTGATTGTTATTGTAATATTTTCTGTTGAGGTTTTATCCTGGATTTCTAACATTTTCAACTATTCTTGTGAGCTTCTATATGCTTCCAACATTTTCAATTCTAAGACTCTGTTGCTAAGAATGAGATTTCTAGTACCACACCCCTTTACAGACATTGTTTTTATGTGACTATGTAAACGCTTTCACACTAGAGTTGCAACTTGTAAGTTTCTTGCATTTCTAATTTTCTCTCTCTTTGTTTACTCTGTTCTTTCTTCTTGGTGTTATTTGAAGGCTCAAAGGTCAATTTAGAGAGCTGTCAATGCACCCTTCAGGTTCATTCATTGTTGAAAAGTGTTTCACTACAAGTAATGTATCACTGAAAGAGACTATAGCATCTGAGCTCCTAGCCGTACGAGTTCAGCTGTCTAAGACTAAGCAGGGCCCACATCTCTTAAGGAAGCTAGATATTGATGGGTAAGCTAATTGTCTTTGTTCTAAAGGTGATTTTATCATGTATTTTAATTAAGATTTAGACATTGTAATTCAATGGCATGGGATGGTGTTGCTTCCAGAATATGACCAGATAGTCTAGAAACCTACTTGACTATTATATTCTGAAATTAGTAATACTCTCTCGAGTGATTGCGTAGAATGCTATGTTGAATGTTTAGATGTAGGGGTGGCAACAAGCCGAACTTCTCATGAGCTATTCGAGCTTGGCTCGGCTCGGCTCGGTTTAAATCGAGCTTCGAGCTAAGCTTGAGCCCATTGAATAGTTTTTTTATACATACTTAACATATGCATATAAATATATAAATATATAAATATATAATAATAAATAATTTGTATTATATATAATATTTTTATTTTTTATGTACAATAAATAATTTTTATAATTCTTATTTTTTTGCATGTAAAATAGAACACTTTTATATGTATATTTTTTATTTTTTATATGTATAAAAATAAATAATGTTTACAGTTCTTAATTTTTTGTATGTAAAATAAAAAAAAAAACATATTTTTTATATCTATAATATTTATTTTTTAGAAAAGATTTGGCTTGCAATCAAGTTGGAGCTGAGCTGAGCTCGAACCTAACACATATTCAGCAAGCCAAGCTCGAGTAGCCAAGTATTCAGCTCGGCTCGGCTTGAACCCACCCCTATTTAGATGGTTATGACCATAGTTGTCAAGGTGATGCCTAGGTAGGCGCCCTTGGAGGCTCGCCTCACCTAGTCACCAAGCAATTTTGTGCATTGTGTTATAAAATACTTTTATATTATTAATTTTTTGACATTATAATTATACATTATTAAACTAGAATATTCATTTTATGTGTTTATATACTAATTTCTTTTTATTATTTTCTTCTTTGTTAGGGTTTAATCAACACAAGCATTGCTAACTGTTGTATTGAACCCATGGCTCAAAGTATTGATACACCTCTGTGTATTGGCAGAGGTGTATCGGTACTTATAACGATACTCCCCCTATTTTTTTATTTCTTTGGTTTTCAATTTCATTTTAAATATATATATTATTTAAAAAGCGTATCTTATCGAAATTTTGATCCTTGATTGAACCCTCAAATATTTCAAAACCTGAACTAATAATAAGCAAGGGAAGAACTTAAAAATTTTATCTAATCAACACATTTTCTTCTTCCAGATCTCCTTCTACCTTTTCTTTTCTTCTTTTCCTATCATAAAAGTAGGGGTTCAGGCCCTCTATTTTTTTATTTTTCTTTCCTTTGTTCTTTTTCTTCTGATAAAATGTTGATTTTCTAGAGTTAAATATGAAATTTATACTTCTCTTGTGAAAATTATGGATAATTATTAAGGAAAGATGGTTATGGAACCTAGGTTATGGCAATTTCTCCTGTCACCTAGCCTTGTGTTGGCGACTTGAAAACTATGGTTATGACAATTTCCCCCACCAGTTTAGTATCTTGAAGAGTACAGTATGCATCATTTGGTCCAGTGAACACTACCAACACTATGTGAAGTACAAGAGATAGCGTTATAACATAAGTTGGTGACAATGTTGCAGCTATGTGGAGTAATAATGTTATTGCCCACCTAACTTACATGATTACCATTTTGGGCTAGCTCAATGTTCATTTCAAACATGAAGTGAAATACTAGTTATTGTTTGCGCAATAGATTATTTGATTGATTTATTACATCCATTTACATTTTCTATGAGTTTAGATTTTGCTTTAACTCATTATATCATATGAAGCTCTGAATCTTAAGGTTTACAAGCAACTTCAGAATGTATTATTTTGTCTATAACCTTAGTTTCTTATCTTTGTTTAGTAATTTGGAACAAGATAATAATTTAAAAAGGTGTGCCTATGCTTCTTTTATCATTTCATGAAATATCATTCTATATATTTTGCATATTTTACAATGTTTCCACCATGTCTATAATCTGTACAATATTTCCATTCAATATTTCTGACATGTTTCTTATATTTGGACAACCAACATTTCCACCGACATCAACATTTTAAACCTTGGCTGCAATATGTGCCACCTTGGTGCCCTCCCTCCCAGTGAAGGAGAATTTAACATTTCTATCTACTGCTAGTCTCAAAATATCACAACAAATAAACCAAGATTCATGTCAACAAGTAGTTTTTGAAGAAGGACCTTCACCAAGGCCTGACAGTCACCTTCTAAAATTACTCTTGTCAATATCTAGCTCTTTGATCATCAAAATGCACTCCTTGATTGCAAGTACCTCAGCCTGTTGTGCGGAAACAGCATTACAAGGTCCATACTTAACCAAAAAGGTGCCATGTTGATCCCACAACACATTGCTAAAGGAGGCTTAGCTGGTTAGCCCTCTCTCAAAAAGCAATTATCCACATTTCCCTTGCCCTGGTTTGGAGTCCAAAAAATAATCTTTTTTATCTCTTTTACTATCTTGCAAGCATCTCTCAACTCCATCATGTACCTGTTAACTTTTCAAATCAAAGAAACAGGGTTAGGATTACTGTAATTAAAAATGAAACTGTTTCTTTCTTTCCAAATCACTGTGGCAGTGTACTCTAGAATAGCTTCCTCATCAATGAAGATTTTTGTGTTGAGATATACCCAACTCTTGAACCATTCACTAAATGAAGATTGGGTCTCTGTCTCATTTCATCTTAGACCCAGTTAATGCACTATGAGCATGCTTCCACAGAAGAATGCCATAACATATGTTTTTATCCTCCCCATTGCATATTGGATAGATTGGATCATCAGCAGGGCCTCTCTTTAATAAATCTGCTTTTACAGCAATGTCCACATGAATTTCCGATCTTTGAGGGAGTAGGGCCTCATCTTGTTCTACTTCTTGGCTTTGTTTTTCCTAGTGGGTAGCTCTAATGGAGAATATGCCTCTCTTGTCAGGCATCCATTACCAATTTGTACTGTCACTCAAAACATGCCGAACAGTCTGCCTGATTTTGTCTATCATGTACTCTGGTAGCGAATTGTTGACACATCCCATTTCCATCATCTATTACGATGATCAATCAGGTCATCCACCAAATCTACTCCATTGGTTCTGGCCTAGGACCAATGGGCTTATAATCTTCCCAAGTTTGGGAGCCAGGGATCATCTTATGTATTAATATTTCGCCCTTTATTAACAGCCCAAAAAACCTTATTTTTGAGAATGTCACACCCAGCTAGTAGGCTGGAAAAACTAATGATAGACTTTCTTTGGGAGCCGGGAGCGGAGAAGAAGGATCATAGGGTCAAATGGGATGTGGTATGTGGATGTAAGATGGATGGGGGTTTGGGAATTGGGAATATAAGGGTTAGGAAATTAGCACTGTTGGGGAAATGGCTATGGAGATTCTCATTGGAGAAAGAAAGACTGTGGGTTAAGATAGTGGGAAGTATACATGGGCTGGCAGGCAATGGATGGAACTCTGGGATCTTAGCAAGGACTACAAGAGCTCCTCCTTGGAAAGCTATTCAAACCATCTTGTCCTTGTTCTATCCATGGGTCAGGTAACCTCATTAAATTCTGGGAACATGTGTGGTTTGGGAACTCCTCTTTGAAAGATCAATTTCCAGGCCTCTTTGCTATATCTACCCTTAAAAATGAGCCAATTTCCTCCTGTTAAAGAAGTGTGGTGTCGACCTATTCTTCCAATGGTTGGGTGCTTCTGTTGGGAAGCCTTTCTATAAAGAGTTAATACAGGGGATCTACTTCAAAGAAAAAGGCCCAATAGCTGCTTGTCTCCTCACTGGTGTGTTCTTTGTAAATCTGATGGTGAGTCCGGATATCACTTGTTAATTTTTGGCCAGTTTGTTAAAGTCATTTGGGAATAGTTTACTTCTCTGTTTGGTTGCAGGTGGACTCCTCCTTCGGATGTGCAAAGCTTATTTACTTCCATGCCTAACTGGTTAACCAAAAGGGCCAAAGATCATGTGGAGATGTGGTAGAGCTGCAGTGTGCTGGACTATCTGGGAGGAGAGAAATTTAAGGGTATTTTCTGATAAGGAATGATGCTTGGAAGTAATCCTGGAAACTATCCACATTAGGGTGATTCATTGGTTAAAAACCTTGGAGTTGTTTGCAGTGTTCTCAGTTGATGAGATGGCCAGAAAGTGGAAGGAGATTGGGAGTTAGGCTCAATCAAGAAGACCTCAAATTCCTGCTGGACACCTCCACCTCAGGGGTTTACCAAACTGAATTTTGATGGCAGCAGCATGGGTAATCTAGGGCCCTACGGAGTTGGGGTCATAAGGGATGAAAAAGGGAACCTGTTATCTATGTACTCTGGCCCAATTGGGGTGGGAGATTCCTTGAGGGCTGAGATCCTAGGAATTCTCGAAGGGATTCAAAGGGCCAAGAAAATTAATTTTAAAAAATTGATCATAGAAGGTGATTCAGAAATTGTAGTAAATTGGCTAAAAGAGGACAGTTGTTCGCTCTGGAAATACAGCAATGAAAAGAGGAAATTCAAGTGGCTCACCAAGGATATTGAAATCCGTTGTACATGGATAGTGAGAAGCGCTAATGCACTGGCAGATGGTCTAGCTAGGCAAGGGGTGAACAGAAGCTCAATGTTTTGGGCTGTTTTGTAATTGTTTCATTAATTCGAGTTTATAGGGTTTTTGGAAGTTAAGATTTTTTAGCTCCTTGTAATTCAGCTTTTCCATCTTATTAATAAAATTCACTGTTATTGATCAAAAAAACAAATCAATCAGGTCATCCACCATCTCTACTCCATTGGTTCTGGCCTAGGACCAATGGGCTTAAAATCTTCCCATGTTTGGGAGCCAAGGGTCGTCTTATGTATTAATATTTTGCCCTTCATTAACAGCCCAAGAAACCTTATTTTTGAAAGTCACACCCAGCTAGCAATATCCTCCAATCCCATGATCCACTTTTAGACCAATAGGCATAGTGGTTTTAAATTTTATCTGGACCTATGGAGCTTATTAATTTATACATGTCTTTGGTTTGTCACTGCAGATTTGCTACACGGCCTGATCAATGGAGGTTGAGGCAAGCATCAAAACAAACTGCATACAAAGAGTTCTATGCTGAATTTGGCTCTGATAAAACAGGCTCACCTGTAAACAGTAGTTTTCTTGCTCAATCCATTTTACATCCAGTACAACCAAAAGGCCTGAAGAAGATGAGGAAAGAAATTGATCAATCTTTGGTTTCTGTTAGTACTTCATCTTTGGGTTTCTCTGCTGTCAAGCAACATGAACAAAAGGCAAAACAAGGCAATAAGAAAATTTCCCAACATGACCTGGTTGATGCGTTGAGAGATGGCAACAAATACAAAACAAAGAAAAGGAAATCTGTCGAGGCTGAGAATGCAGTTCATTCATGTAACTCAACAGCAAATGTTGGAGACGTTCAAAGGCTTCCACAATCCTTGAACAGGAAAGATAATAAACGACATCAGCAGGATAGCCAATCAAAAATTTCTGTAAAAAAGTCGAAAAGATGAAGATGCAACATTGGTGTGTTTTTTTTTTTTTTTTTTGAAGTTTTTCGGTCAGCTCTAGTTCCTCTTATCATTGAGTAAGTTTTCGTTATTAATATTTTATTTTATCTGAACGTTCTAATTTACGTTAATTATGATTTTCGGAATAATAGTAGCATACTCGTCCAACGCATGAAGGTGTCAAAACAGAGGGTGTTCCTCCATAACTAATCAACCGATATCATAAATGTGGTAACCTATCAACTGGTCTAAGTTTTTTTAATCAACAGCTGGTCAAAGTGAATTATATATATATATATATATATATATATGACACGTCACCCACTTTATTTCTTCCTCCACCTTATCAATTTCCCACGTCGCCCACCTTCCAGTTTTTACTATATTCAATATTGTGTTTTTTTAGAAATCATTAAGAAAACTCTTATTTCCATCCAGAAGAAAGTCGAGCTCTATTATTTAGAGTACAAGCAAGCCTAAGAAAGCACGTTGATTTGGTTTCACATGTCTAGAGATTGAAAGTGACAAGAAAGCCTCTCCTAGGTATGTATTCCAAACCAACGAACGTAGATAAATAACAGATGAGATATAACCTCTATTTTCTTCCTCAACCTCTTCTTTGAAGATCCAATCAGGAAGCCAAAAACCAACAAGGAACAACAAGGGGTTCCCACAGGATTAGTATAAGAGTTAAATTACCCATGAGGAAAAGCAGGAAAAATTAGAGAAAAAAAATGTGCTGGGATTGAAGCTTAACTAGAAGAAAAGTAGATCAACTTATGAATTCTTTCTTTTTGGATTCAACTAATCAGGAAATCGACGAAATTTGCTTCTTTTTGAGTTGCTTTTCCTTTGAAGAAGTTGATGGAGACCAAGAAGAAAGGTATTAAAGGTTTATGTGATAAAAAAAAAAAAAACTGCCAGAGTTCAGATCGACTATGCAGACGTGGTCGCTACTGCAATAAAAAAAATAAAATAAAATAAATGTTTTCTTTTCACCCAGAATCGCTACTATGGTCACCACTTTGAGTGACCACTGTAGCTTCATATCAGCTTAAGAAGACTACATTAATTCACATTAATTATTTTACAATTAATTAATTAACAATATTAATTATGGAGTACTAATAAATAATTACCATAATATTAATAGTAATTAATTACTTATTTTGTTCGTTAGCTTTGTTAATTAATTACTATTGGTTTAAGATTTTTAATATTAAAAATAATATTCTGATAATTAATATTTTGCAATAAATTTCTATTAAGTAATAGCTAAATGATTAAATACTAACATAGTTAATTATGGATTAATAATAAATACTTGCCAAAAATCCCTAGAATTTATCAACAATAATTAGTTGACATTGAAGTAATATTAAATTGCTTTGTAATTGTTTAACTCTCTTCTATTAATTGTTTTTTAATAAATGTAATGAATCCAAAGCTAATTATATTTAATGGACCAAATTTATTTAACATAATTCAATTAAGCTTAATTGACTTAAATTAACTAACAAAACCAAACTAACTTAATAAGCTTAAGACAATTTAATTTGGTTAACCAAGATACCCATTGGGTATCTAGGTTCTAGCCTACGCAACTCAAAAGGATGAGGATAAGGAATAATCGGGACCTGACTGGGGACAGGGATGGGGATGGGGATGGGGATTGAAGTCCTCACCCCAATAGGGAACCCATTGGGACAAATTGAACAAATTTTGAAAATAGCTCTATATAATTCTAATAATTCTACCACATTTATTGGACAAATTCATTTTCTATATTATCTTGGTGATTAATGATAATAGTTTAGTGCTAAGCCAATTTAGATTACTGTATTTTTCTTTCTCCTATAAATCTTTTTCCTTAGCAAGCTTTTAATAAAAAAAAAAAAAAAAGTCAGGGATTGAAGTCAAGTTTCCCCATTGGGGGATTGAGCTTCATTTTTCTTCTCACAAGAATAAGGGACGGAGATGGTAGTTATTTAAAAATTGTGGACAAGGATGGGAAATGTAGTCCTTGCCTTATGCCCACCTTGTTACCATCCCTAAATTCTGCCATCTCAATATATTAAATCAATAAAAACTTAGATATGTAATAATAGTAAAAAATTAATAATTAATAGTATACAATACGAACAAATGAAAGTTAGTGAAAATAAAAAAAATACTAAGATAAATTAATTAGAAAAATTAAAATAAATAATACTAAAACAAGTTAACAAGTATTAGTAAGCATATATCCATAATATTTCATTTGATATTTCAAAATTAACCATTTAATTTGAAATTATTATTTGTATGGTGAAAACATTTAAATTCCTTTTAAAATAAATGAAAATGATAAAAATATAATAAAAATTAGTAAAAATCAAATAAATTTAACTAAAAAAATAAAGTTTATTTTAAATTCAATTTGAAATAAGACATCTAATCTTACATTAGTTTTTGTATTTAGTTTTTTATATTAAATTAAATTTGTAATATAATAAATAGATTGATAGAATATTTAATTAATACTAAATTAAATCAAGAAATAACAAATAGATATTTCTATTAATAGAAATTGAAATCGAAGTCTTTTATTAATGACAATTGAAGTCCTAACAATTAATCTTTGGTTAATTTTATTTTATAAAAATACAAAGCAAAAACTTAGCACTACTAGTTGGTTGTTGTCAATGATTTGGTCATGAATTTTCAGATTTTAGGTAATAGGTGTTAGACAGTTTTGTATGCCCTTAGCTTCAATCAGTTTTGATGTACTTTTGATATTTAATGTAAATAAATAAAGTACATGTTTGATTCATGTTATATGGTATGCTTCTGTGTAAGACCCTAAAACTGGACACTTAATGAGACTTGTGTTAGTTTTAAATGTTCACGGCCGTTGTATAAGTCTGGGGAGATTTATCCTGCCAAAGCTGACACTGGTGTGCTACCAACTGTTGGGGTGGCTTGTCTCAGCCGCCAGGGTGAGACCCAAGGCACACGCAGTGTAGGATTACTTAAACCCTTGAACCGGAACAGATTTCTAGTATTGCCCTGAACCTTGGAGATTGATGAGCAAAACTGGAAAGTTACACCTGACCCCTAGACCCGATTATGGTATTGCACTAGGTGTTGGATTGGGCTGTCTTTGATATGCCAATCAGTGAGATCCTTAGCGGGGGTCAAAACCTGCGTATGTTGGGACAGTCTGAGAATTCATCTAAGTGGGTGATCATAATGACGGGATCAGCCCCTTTGTCGGACAAAGGTAATGATGGGGGATGCACTCTCTCTGATGGAAACCAAACTACCGGCAATTGATTTCAATCGTTGGAATTTTGTTTTGCAAAATTTATATATATGATATATACTTATATATGGTTTCAAAATGTTTGCAAATGGTTTTAATTCCCGGGATCCATGTGAGTAGAGAGTGCAGCACTGTTCATTGCAGCCGAACGAGAGGTCCTCTCTTGTTGGGCAGTGCTTGATCATTATGGGCTGAGAGGTTAAGTGTAAGGCCATTTAGGATAATACCTGATGGGCTAATCTTGCATCTGCCCGCAGTCCCTGGGTTTTATAAGATGGCTTGGCCTAGGGACTACCTAGTGTAAGTGTTGGGCCCATAGGATCCATGTGATGGACTCAAGGGGTTCATTGGGCTTTCTAGTGAATTCGGCTAGGCCTTGTAACAGAGGTTGGGCCAAACCCATGTGGCTAATGTGTAGACAATGCTTGGGTCCCACGCCATATAGAGAAGCCCAACTGGGCAGCAGCTTGGAAGACTATTGAGCACTTAATATATATTGGGCCTAAAGCCCGTTTTGATCTGGGATGATTTGATCAGTCACTTAAAGGGGCATATCTGAGTTTAGGTTAAGTCCAAAAGTTGATCTAATCTATAGATAAGATTAAGAAGAGTTCAAATCCAAAAACTGATTTTGATAAGGACAACTCCTAATATGATTAGGAAGGATTTTCTTAATCACTAAGAAATATGAGGAAAACCCTAATTCGAATTACTTGAATTTGAACCCTAAGGGTTTTTTAGCAAAACACCCTGCATTCTTGAGATAAGATCTCAGGTAACCCTAGAGAAGAAAATAGCAGTTCGCCACCTTCTTCTCTAGCATTCTCCTCCAGTAACCGCCGCCATCTTTTCTACCAGTTCGAGTTCTCAGTTAGAGAAAATCAAGAAAGGTTCTTGATTGTTCGTGTGGTGCTCACAGTCTTTCATCGAGTTCTTCAGAAGAACCTGGTTCGTGGGACGAACACTGCTGGTTCGGCTCCATCATCACTGTGTCATCTTCAGTGGGAGCTGATCTTGGGATCTTCTTCGGCCGTGAACACCAACATTGGGAGATACTGCTTCTCTGGACCAGGTATAATCTCTCCCTTCTCTTTTGGTTCAAATCTGGTCTAGTTTGGTTCAAGTATTGATCATTGAATTTTGATTCTAAAATCAGGGAATGCGATTCCCATTTGGAAGAAAGGTAGGAAATTTTTTAAATTCGCCCACCCATTCCGCAACAGTTTTGGCGTCCATACGATGGATCCTACCACTTCTTTCAATAGGTTAGTTGTGGTAAGATGAAAACTATCTCAATCCACCAATAAGGCTGCAAACAACCAGTTGGCGAACTGGAACGACAACCAATAAGACCAATCAGCATTTGGCAGATTGCGACAAGAACAGTTCTGGCTACTAGAAAGGTTAGAACATTTAGGTATGTTATTATAATTTTAGAGATGCCTTTTGTAAAATCCCTTCTAAATAATCCAAAAATATTAAAGATTGCATAAGAAGTATCTCTATCTTGTAAGCATTTGATCATGTAGCTGAAAGCTGTAATGGTGCAGATCTCAACGATCCAAAAACACAAGCTTGCAGATGCAAGTAACTAGAGACAACTGAATTGAATAGGACTGGAGCATATAGGAGGCTTTTAGTCCATTTAGAGGTCATGTATGCTTGATCTATCTCACATGGTTAAGAGAGAATATTTATAACCTCAACACCCAAGGTTAAGTTCCTTGTTTTCAGGAATAAAGCAACCAAATAAGCATGGTGAATTATTCCCCAAGAGACTTAATGAAGCCCATGGTTTTCAAAATTGGATCGGACTAGATGGTCGAACTGGAAAAACTGGGAACC